GTGTGGGTTTGAGGCGTGCGCGTCTGTCTGCTTTTATTTGAGGCGGGGTCTGATGTGGCCCAGGCTGGCCTTGAACTCCTGATCTTCACCTCCAGGGTCGTGGTATTATGGGTAAACACCATCATATGTGGACTCTTCATATATCAGGAAGACACACCAAGATGTACCAGACAATTTAAATTCAGGTCTGCCATTCACTACTTTGCTTTACCAGCAAGGTAGTGAATTTGAAGCAGCAATGCCAGGAGAAGCAGGCATTGTATGCTCTCCCCATCCCATCACTACAATGGCTGAAGATTTACAAATTCCCCTCCTTCCTCTTAGAATTTATGCTTAAATTTACTATCGGAAATAATAACACAGAGCTCATAGATTCATAAATTTGGGTGATTTCTTCTATTTTTGCTTGTGAGCCTAGCCTTTAGCGGCGGAGCCATCTCTCCAGGTCAAACTTAGGGGATTTCTACATCATTCTTTACCCCAATATTATGTAAAGGGCAGTAATATTCTTTTTCCCTTTAGGAAGCCACGTTCTCACATGCTGGGGCTTTCTGACTCCATTTTGTACCCACAGAGTTTAAAGACCCTCCCCAAACCTAGAGACTTCAACAACAGCCCACCAACTCAATATATCTAGGACAAAGGTATTCAAGATCTCAGGTGAGTTTTAGAATGGCTATCCTGCCAAACGGCTTTTTTTTTTTTTCAGATTACCGACCTACATTCAGGACTCACTTACACCCATCCATCTTGCGAGATCCTTCCTAAAAGGAAAAACAAACAAACAAACAAAACACATTCAGTATGTGGCCCCTGTGGATGAAATTAAAGCAGGCACAGTATATTTCATGTTCATGCTTCAATGTTTGTCCTATCAACCCCTCCTCCTGCCCCCAACAGTGTTTGCAGCATCCACCTTGAGGCTTAATTTACCCTGAGTTCTCCCACCACCACCCGGTACCAACTTAAAGGGGAAGCCAAAAAAAATAAAATCATTCATCAAAATACATCATGGTCCAATGTAATTTAAAGACACACAAAGCAATCAAGAGATGAACAGATATAAAATTTCAAGCAAAGGCAGAACTCCAACCTCAGGCTTCTCACTCTGCTCTGGCAAGACCTTGCCTTGCTGCAGTCTAACCGGACTCGTTTAAATACAGCAAGAAAGTAGTTTCCTTCGCGGCTGCCCTAGCTTTCGTCATACCCCAACCCCCATTTGCAGGAGGATAGAGTTGGGCAGTCTAGAGTTGCCAGGTGGCCTTTCTTTCAAGAGGGGATAAGGGGGCCCTGGGAGAGAACCAAGATCACCTTGAACTAACATGTGTTCTCTGAAAACTGCCCACTAGGGGCAAGGTAAGGCGTGTCTGCATACCTTGCTGGCTCAACTGTGCTGGAGAATGGTCTCCCATTGCTCCAGCTGCCGCTGGGTGAACCGAAGTTGGTGGCGGGCCATTGACCTCTCCGGAGGCTTTAGGCTTTTCTGGCTCTCCGTACCCTCAGCAACCAGCTCCATTTGCTCTTGCTCCACGCCACTTCCGCTGGTGCCACCATTCTTCTTCCCATCACCCACAGGACCTGGAGCATCAGGACCAAAGGGGCCTCCTTTTTCTCCTTTTAATTCTTCTCCTTCACTGTCTGCTCCCACTCCTCCCACTCCAGGTTGGCCCCGTACACCTTTCTTCTCTCTCCCCTCTCCAGCCTGAAAGATCATCTGTGCGTTCATATCTGCAAAAGAGGAAACAGCCAGAGAAAGCTCAGGGCATCAGGGCTCAGTGTGCACGAAAAGGAGAGACAAAGCACTGAAGAGCTATGTATAAAGTGAGCTGACGGTGGGTGCTGTTGCTTCGCTCATTCCCTTCTGCCAGGGATATTTGCTTCCCGGCGATCACTAAAACACCAATTCCATACCGGTACTGACCCTGCTGCTCTTCCTGGTCCTCCTTGACTCCCAGGCAGAGTAAGCAGGTGATGGCCCGACTGCAGCCTTGAGATGCCATACTCTGATGAGTCGATGAGGACGTACGCTCCTGCTGATGCTGGTGTCCGGGGACCAGAATGAGAGAGCTGCGCTCCTCAACCTGAAAGGGCTCTCCTCAGGCCCAATTTAGTTTCCAATGTATCCAGTCCTAGGCTTGTTGGCTCTGCTTTCTGCTCCCCGGTGGTTCCTGTGGGTTGAGCCTTCGAGGCACAGAGGCAGCGGCAGCTTAGGGGTGTAATGAGCACGACGTGCCTGCAAGAAGGGGACAGCATGCGGGTATGTGGGTGTGCAAAACCTGAGACGCCAGGTCACAGCTCAGCGGACAGCTCTGACTTTGGTAAAATATGCAGCGAGGCATAAAGGTCTCCAGAGGTCACACCGGGTATTTCTTTGCCTCCCGTTAATTCAGACAGTTCAGTACCAGCTCTTTCCTGGCGAGATAGCTCACCAAGACTAGAGCAATCCTCTGACCCAACACCTGAAGGCCTAAGTTCTGTTCACACACGCCGATGGCCACATAGAAAAGTGACTTAGCTGTTTTGTTTCATTTTGTTTTGTTGGGGTTTCTAGACAGGGTTTCTCTGTGTGTAGCCCTGACTGGCCTGGAACTCGCTCTGTAGGCCAGGTTGGCCTCAAACTCAAAGATGCCTCGCCTCCTCCCCCCACCCCCCGCCCCTGCCCAGTGCAGGGTGGCGTGCGCCACCGCCACCAACACCCGCCTCAAAGGTGGCTCTTTAACAATCCGTTTAAAACCCAGTATTCCCCTGGAGAGAAGCGGGGGGGGGGGGGGGGGCAGATGGTGCCCATCCCTGGCTCATTCTGCGACCCTTCACCATGCCTCCCCCAGCACATGGGCCTGGAGGCTGGATGATTCTCTTTATGGTTCCTCTTTTCCAGCTGGGACTGCAGTAGCAATCTTGCAGGCTAGACAGAAGGATGAGATGATGAACAGTGGGGAGCTTGCGCAAGTAGCTGCAGCTTCAGTAGAGGCAGGGGAAAAAAAGAAAGGGAAGAAGTGGGGGGGGGGCATAATCACTCACAACTAACAACAGAAACCACGAGGACAGTGGCCCTAGAAGTAGGGACCCAAAAACGTGACCACCAGCAAGAGCAGCCAATCCCTGAGGACATAAAGGGTCTTCGGAACACACAGCTTCCCCACCGCCATACCAGCGTTCACCTGATCACAGCGGTGGGCACTGGAGAATAAGCTCCAAGAAGATCATTACGCACCGCCTGTGGGCACAGTAAGCAGATTGCATTGCCTGGTGACCAGTTCGCAGGGAGCATGTGCTAGTCCAGCACAGGGTTGAACTCTATACGGGTCCCTCTCCCCCTGAAACAGAAGCACCTGCAGGGCTCCAGGCTGCCCGGCCCCCTTCTCTAGGAGTTCGGAGCCTGGGTCAGAGTGAGCGCCTTGTCAGCTGGGAATGAAGGCGCTCTCGTCTGTGCTCTGCTGAATCAAGTTGGAGATTTGAGCTGAGGATGATGTTATACCCTTACGAACCCTGCACTCTGGACATAGAAACAGGAAGTGCTAAAGGCCAGCCTGAGGTACACGAGACCCTGGAAACAAATAAGAAAGCCATCGCATCGAACTCACAGAGATCCGCCTGCCTCTGCCTCCCGAGTGCCTCGAAAAATCAAAAAAAAAAAGTCATCGCATGCCTTTGCAAAACTGCACTCCTTCCTCTGTGGGAGTCTGTCAGAGGCGTTATTGTGTATCGTCCTGGAGCCGATCTAACAGATTTTCTTTCCTGGCTCTGGAATGACTGTGTTTTGTCCTGGTAGTTTTGTTACTGGGGAATGGAGCTCCATTTGGGCCATATCTACCTGTGATGATTCAAAGTACTTTCCCATTTCCTTATGCAGAGGTGACTAATCATAGATCCTTACACTCAAAGGTGGCTATGTGAAGCTGTAGAAAATCATGAGTTAGAAGGAGAGAGAGCACGAGCAAGGAACTCAGGACTGCGAGGGGTGCACCCACACACTGAGACAATGGGGATGTTCTTCTGGGAACTCATCAAGGCCAGCTGGCCTGGGTCTGGAAAAGCCTGGGATAAAACCGGACTCGCTGAACATAGCAGACAATGAGGACTACTGAGAACTCAAGAACAATGGCAATGGGTTTCTGATCCTACTGCACGCACTGGCTTTGGGGGAGCCTAGGCAGTTTGGATGCTCAACTTACTAGACCTGGATGGAGGTGGGGGTTCCTTGGACTTCCCACAGGACAGGGAACCCTGATTGCTTTTCGGGCTGAGGTGGGGGGGACTTAATTGGGGGGAGGGAGAGGGAAATGGGAGGCGGTGGCGGGGAAGAGACAGAAATCTTTAATAAATAAATAAATTTAAAAAAAAGAAAATCATGAGTTATATAAAAAGCTGTTTGGGGGAAAAAAAAAAGCAAACCGGGGGAGAACATCGGGATGATGCTATCAGCTAAGCCGCTCACGCCCTCCTGGGAATGCAGCGATGGAAGAAGCCTTTTTAGATCAGCAGAGCAACACAGCCAGCCCCTGAGGCTGTTTCCCAAGCCACAGCCTGGGATCAGAGAGAGGCCTGGCTCAGAAAACAAGATAAGAACTCTGTGTTCTCAGACGGGCAACGCAACGCCAGCTGGGGAAGCAGGAAGCTGAAGGTTGCTGAGCTGCCTCACTCCTCCCTCAGTTTACCTAGTGTACTCAGTAGCAGTATGAGGGCAGAGTGACTCTTATGTCACAAATAAAGGAAGCAGCAATGTTCTCACCTACTCTTGAGCCTTTCCACACGGGTATTTCCGAAAGGCTTCCCAAAGACATCTGGCCAAACTATTTTAACATCCTTAAAGCTAAATCAGAAAACCAGTAGGTGGAGGTGTGGGGATCTGGGACTATATCTCAGAAGTTGAGTGCTTGCCTAGAATTTTATTCATTAGGCCTTGGGTTCAATCACAAGCACCAGCACACACACTACAACTCACACACACGCACTATCAGAGGCTACTGAGTACCAGCCTTAGAGCTCCCTCAGAACAGGATGTCTACAGCCAGAGAAAACTGGCTGGGAAAAGGGATCTAAAGGGTAGAAAAAACCGACTCAAGCACCTTTCTTCTGCAGGTTAAGTTATTCCTTGGGCGAGGAAGAAAAAAGGAACGTTCTCCATAAGGTTTTCAGTTTATAGAGGCGTACAGACAAGTTAGCAGTTCCACAGGCGGTGACAACAGCATCAAACACGCATTTTAGAGTCCCAGAGGCAGGTAAGGGAGGCTTCTTACATCTCAGAGTGGGGTAGTGGCTGTGAAGCTCCTGGCAGATATCAGGAGGATTAGTTAAGAATGGGACTTTAAATTACAAATTCTAAAATACAGAATTCTAAGGCGTTCTCGCGCACTAACTACAGTCTTTAACTGTAACTAGGAGTTTATGGTTGATAATTGTAGGAAAATGCAGCAGCGCTGCTGTGCTTTCTAAACATTTCCACTTCCCTGGCAGCTGGGAACTCACCTTTGGTAGCCATAGCAACCTGTGGGCCTGGGAGGAAGGCAAGATGCTTGATTTGTACCTAGCTGCCTGAGAAAAATAAGAAAAAAAAAAAAAAAAAAAAAAAAACCTCTTTAAAGATTTTGCTTTCAGCTCCAGCAGGGTACCTGCCAGTACCCAGTGAGAATTTCTTTCCCTGAGGCTGGGTTAGTGACTCAAGCCTTTTTCATGTATCTCTAGGGGTAAAAACAGAAACAGTTAATTTTCCTGAGCTATGATCTTACGTTAATTGAAACCAAGGTGAAGAATAAATACAGACTATTAGTAGCTTGTTGGGTTAGAGCAAAAGGCCAGTAGATTCCTCCACCTTCCTGAGTCTGCTGCTAGAGAATTCAGGCCCACCCAGACTCTCTTGTCAGGAGAGCAGACATACTGTCTCTCCTGTTCAGTGCCTCCTCTTTGGGGCTCCTTTCCTGTCAACGAGTCCTGTCAATAAGGGTAATTGTGGGGACTAACTTAGCAGATTTGACTATTAGAACAAAGCTTTGGCTGAGTGATTGCTTTCACACCAGGGCTTCACGGTGTGAGAGAGGGGATCCAGGTGCCCACACAGGAAGAAATTATCTCAACAAATGATTTACATACTGCTGGGATATTATAGAAGGGAGAAACAGCATGATTCCACAGGATTTCTACAGAATTGACAGTAACTTATCCAAAAGACAGGCGTTCCCAGACATCTGCAAACTGGGATCTCCACCAGATTACATTCCTGCGCATTTGTCTCTTGGTCTGCCAGCTGTACTTTTGCTGTGCAGACTTGTGGGATTGTGGCAATTCACCATAACCCACACACCACAGCACACACACACACACACACACACACACACACACACACACACACACCAGTACTGAAGTCAAGGGCCTAAGCCCAGCCCATAGCACGTTTATCTCCCTGAGGTATTGGTTATGTTTTCCACTCTGACCACTGCTAACCCGGGATCTTCTGAACATGCATACACCATTGCCCTGGATTTTTCAGACAACATACTTACAAAGACAAAAGATGCCAATTAGTAGCATAATAGAGAGAACGAAGTATCATGCAGTAAGAGGAAGCCTAGGGGAAAGCCCAAATGGATGATCTTATGGAAACCTCATCAAGTAGGATAGTGAGAAGATGGAATAGTTTGGCAGGTCTTACTTGTATTTGGAGAGTAGGTTCCTCTCCACATCAATGACCTGAAGCAATTCATTAGCTACACTGAATTCTCTCCTGAAAGAAAGCAGTGCAATTTTTAGGAACCAGATGCAGCAGCCAAGAGGGCCGAAGGTACAAAGAGTCCAGGTAACCAAAATGATTGAATTGTATATGGAAGAATAGGCCAGTCCCCTGTGCTGGAGAGTTCAGTAGGAGGTGGGGTATTCCAGGCAGGAGGACCCTGTAATGGGTAGGGACTGAAGGATGCAGAGAGAAGCTGGCAGCCATTCTCCACTTCCACATGTTAAATGGGCACCTCAGCCTTTTGTTTCAGGTTTGGAACTGAACAAAACTAGTAAAATTGAACGAGACAAAATACTAAGTCTATTCTAAGCCGTGAACACAGTTGATACCAACTGAGGTTTTTTTTTGTTTTTTTCTTTTTTTTTTTTTTAAAGACTGTGTATCATAGCTTCAGCTGTCAACTTACGCACCTAGGAAGAGGGATTCTCGACTGGGAAATTGCCT